ATTGATTGTGAATGTGTAATTTTATGTGAATGTGATGTATGGTTTTAGAGTTATGAGAGTTGGGTAGAAAGTATGTTTTAACTGTATGTATAATTGAGTTTCCTCTCAGGATAAGGGGAGGGAATATGTGGGATGTAACTGTGATGTTATTGGTTGTTTTATACCTCCCTGTGGGCGGTCCTGTATTTGAAAACACTGTAATAAAAACCAGGCTGGGTGTGCCAGCACCTCAGATTCTGCTTAACCCTCAAAACGAAGTGTCGTCTCGTTATTGGGGGAATTGGATTGTGTGCTGACTGCCAGGAGTGTAAGCCGTTTGTATTGCTTTTCCTGTTCGGCTGCTTCCAGGGTTCCTGTGTCTGCTGTTCGAGAGTTGGTGAATACGTGCAGTTTGGAGTTCAGGAGGTTGGTGATTGCAGTAGCTGCTGGCCTATGGGAAAGGGGATTATCGCCTAAACCGATTTTATCCCCTTGTGAGAGAAACGGTCCGTTACATCCTCCCTAGTTGTAATGAATCATTTTATTTGATAACAGAAATAATGTGATTTATTAGATTGATATAGAAAAACATTATTAACATCAAACTGGATGTCTAATACCTGAGTTTCACATACACTGTAATGTAATATTTTCAAAATGTTTTTTTATAGGCTCTTATGACACAGAACAGCCTGGTGAAGGTAAACCTATATCCTTTCTTTTACTGACTTTTCAGCGATAACAAATAACTTGATTTCACACAGTAATAAATGTAAATTATTGTAACTAGATTCTTTAAACTTACATGTAGTTCACACCTTGTACTGCAATACAGTACAAAATAACTCACATTGTATTTCAGCAGATATTTAAATAAACATGATTTTACATGATAAACTGTAGGTCCACCAGATCAAAAATTGGAAAAAAGATTTGAAACAGAGAAGTATACAGTTTGTTCTAACTAGATCAATAAAGACACAAGTAGCAAACAATTTGTTTTCTAATATACTGTTTTATTTTCTTTTTGGTTAAAGGTCAAAACTTAGGTTCATTAGAATTAATAAAGTACTTTTTAAACAACATCCTCCTTAGTTGAAATGAATCATTTTATTTGATAACAGAAATAATGTGATTTATTAGATTGATATAGAAAAACATTATTAACCTCAAACTGGATGTCTAATACCTGAGTTTCACATACACTGTAATGTAATATTTTCAAAATGTTTTTTTTTATAGGCTCTTATGACACAGAACAGCCTGGTGAAGGTAAACCTATATCCTTTCTTTTACTGACTTTTCAGCGATAATAAATAACTTGATTTCACACAGTAATAAATGTAAATTATTGTAACTAGATTCTTTAAACTTACATGTAGTTCACACCTTGTACTGCAATACAGTACAAAATAACTCACATTGTATTTCAGCAGATATTTAAATAAACATGATTTTACATGATAAACTGTAGGTCCACCAGATCAAAAATTTGAAAAAAAGATTTGAAACAGAGAAGTATACAGTTTGTTCTAACTAGATCCATAAAGACACAAGTAGCACACAATTTGTTTTCTAATATACTGTTTTATTTTCCTTTTGGTTAAAGGTCAAAACTTAGGTTCATTAGGATTAATAATGCACTTTTTTAAACTACATCCTCCCTAGTTGTAATGAATCATTTTATTTGATAACAGAAATAATGTGATTTATTAGATTGATATAGAAAAACATTATTAACATCAAACTGGATGTCTAATACCTGAGTTTCACATACACTGTAATGTAATATTTAAAAAAAAAAATTTTTATAGGCTCTTATGACACAGAACAGCCTGGTGAAGGTAAACCTATATCCTTTCTTTTACTGACTTTTCAGCGATAATAAATAACTTGATTTCACACAGTAATAAATGTAAATTATTATAACTAGATTCTTTAAACTTACATGTAGTTCACACCTTGTACTGCAATACAGTACAAAATAACTCACATTGTATTTCAGCAGATACTTAAATAAACATGATTTTACATGATAAACTGTAGGTCCACCAGATCAAAAATTTGAAAAAAGATTTGAAACAGAGAAGTATACAGTTTGTTCTAACTAGATCCATAAAGACACAAGTAGCACACAATTTGTTTTCTAATATACTGTTTTATTTTCTTTTTGGTTAAAGGTCAAAACTTAGGTTCATTAGGATTAATAATGTACTTTTTTAAACTACATCCTCCTAGTTGTAATGAATCATTTTATTTGATAACAGAAATAATGTGATTTATTAGATTGATATAGAAAAACATTATTAACATCAAACTGGATGTCTAATACCTGAGTTTCACATACAGTGTAATGTAATATTTTCAAAATGTTTTTTTTTATAGGCTCTTATGACACAGAACAGCCTGGTGAAGGTAAACCTATATCCTTTCTTTTACTGACTTTTCAGCGATAATAAATAACTTGATTTCACACAGTAATAAATGTAAATTATTGTAACTAGATTCTTTAAACTTACATGTAGTTCACACCTTGTACTGCAATACAGTACAAAATAACTCACATTGTATTTCAGCAGATACTTAAATAAACATGATTTTACATGATAAACTGTAGGTCCACCAGATCAAAAATTTGAAAAAAGATTTGAAACAGAGAAGTATACAGTTTGTTCTAACTAGATCCATAAAGACACAAGTAGCACACAATTTGTTTTCTAATATACTGTTTTATTTTCTTTTTGGTTAAAGGTCAAAACTTAGGTTCATTAGGATTAATAATGCACTTTTTTAATCTACATCCTCCCTAGTTGTAATGAATCATTTTATTTGATAACAGAAATAATGTGATTTATTAAATTGATATAGAAAAACATTATTAACATCAAACTGGATGTCTAATACCTGAGTTTCACATACACTGTAATGTAATATATATAAAAAAAAATTTTTATAGGCTCTTATGACACAGAACAGCCTGGTGAAGGTAAACCTATATCCTTTCTTTTACTGACTTTTCAGCGATAATAAATAACTTGATTTCACACAGTAATAAATGTAAATTATTATAACTAGATTCTTTAAACTTACATGTAGTTCTCACCTTGTACTGCAATACAGTACAAAATAACTCACATTGTATTTCAGCAGATACTTAAATAAACATGATTTTACATGATAAACTGTAGGTCCACCAGATCAAAAATTTGAAAAAAGATTTGAAACAGAGAAGTATACAGTTTGTTCTAACTAGATCCATAAAGACACAAGTAGCACTCAATTTGTTTTCTAATATACTGTTTTATTTTCTTTTTGGTTAAAGGTCAAAATGTAGGATCATTAGGATTAATAATGTACTTTTTAAAACTACATCCTCCCTAGTTGTAATGAATCATTTTATTTGATAACAGAAATAATGTGATTTATTAGATTGATATAGAAAAACATTATTAACATCAAACTGGATGTCTAATAGCTGAGTTTCACATACACTGTAATGTAATATTTTCAAAATGTTTTTTTTATAGGCTCTTATGACACAGAACAGCCTGGTGAAGGTAAACCTATATACTTTCTTTTACTGACTTTTCAGCGATAATAAATAACTTGATTTCACACAGTAATAAATGTAAATTATTGTAACTAGATTCTTTAAACTTACATGTAGTTCACACCTTGTACTGCAATACAGTACAAAATAACTCACATTGTATTTCAGCAGATACTTAAATAATCATGATTTTACATGATAAACTGTAGGTCCACCAGATCAAAAATTTGAAAAAAGATTTGAAACAGAGAAGTATACAGTTTGTTCTAACTAGATCCATAAAGACACAAGTAGCACACAATTTGTTTTCTAATATACTGTTTTCTTTTCTTTTTGGTTAAAGGTCAAAACTTAGGTTCATTAGGATTAATAATGCACTTTTTTAAACTACATCCTCCCTAGTTGTAATGAATCATTTTATTTGATAACAGAAATAATGTGATTTATTAAATTGATATAGAAAAACATTATTAACATCAAACTGGATGTCTAATACCTGAGTTTCACATACACTGTAATGTAATATATAAAAAAAAAAATTTTTATAGGCTCTTATGACACAGAACAGCCTGGTGAAGGTAAACCTATATCCTTTCTTTTACTGACTTTTCAGCGATAATAAATAACTTGATTTCACACAGTAAT